GAGCAGCGTTCCATTCGAGAAGTAATATTGTTTTCATAGTGCTGTTTTTCTTATTCAGGGTGGGGAAAAGGCGGGTGGTGGGGGAGGGGGTAAAAACCACTGTGGGTCAACTGTCGACATTTCCACGTCACTTTTCCAGCAAATAGGGCACGTCTTGCTGTTGGTTTTTTTGCAAAATGCGACCCATCAAAATTTCCTCCTCTGGTGCGACTCCCCCCCCCTCCTTTCCCATCCCTCATCCTACCTGACATTTTGCTATATGTTCCGAATTTTTCCAACTTTATCGCAGGTTTTCCCAAAAGTTCTCCACTTTTTCCGATTCGTTTCAGATCGCCAGTTCGAACGTCATGTTGCTGCCTTCCAACGAGATGCGCTTTCCAGCTATATGGACACTACCGTACGTGCCAAGCTTGGAATAATTCCAGACGATGTGAAATTTGGAGGTTTGTCGCCTACTCGTAAGACTGTTAGTTGCTTGTTACTGTATAGCAACAGAAGGATCAGGTCTTGGAAGACCAAGCAAATGGGTCTTAGGAGGTGCCACGGCGCAGCGCGTTGCGCCGCGTCATGCATAGTTTGTCACTTCTCTCCCAAACCTAAGAGAAGGGGCACTAATCGGCTTAAAAGAGGGGGCATTTTGCTGATTCCCTTTTCGAGTTTCTACTAACTTTCACGTCTCATCTTGCCGAGACCTGCAAGCACTTATTGAGTATGAGGAGCTCCTGCTGTTGCAGAGAAGTTCACAAGACTTTGCAGGTCTTCACTGGAGGCGTCGATAACGATCGTTGGGAACTGGCAAAGTGCCCCCACCAAGCCGAACTGCGCCCAAAACAGATCACCTGCCCATTTGGGGGAGGTGATTGACCAGGAGAAATGACGCAGCAAACCACGTCGCTGTATGACCCTTCTCTAATTGGTACTTTGACTCGAGAAAAAGCACTGAACAATGTTTTAGCCCAGTCGAACGCTGTATTCAACAAGCAACAAGCGGATTTCATGAAACCCAATTGGGATACGGTCGATGGACTCCTGATGAACGGCACCAACGTCATTGTCTACAATGGAAATCAAGACTTAATATGTGACACCATCGGTTCGTATCTTTTTGTATTCACAGAAATGCCACACAGATCGTACGCTGGGAATTCCGAGCCAGCAGGGGGGGGGGGGGGTGAGAATCCTGGTCTGATCTGTAGTTGGAAGGGATCGTATTTGCCTTCAGAGAAGCCTTTTGCTAATTTTCCTTGGTTTTTACTGCTTTCTCAGGCGTAAGGCGCTAAAGACTTCAAAGACCTCACCCAATGCTCGACTTTTTTGGAGGAATGCTAAAAAATTCTTTGGATATGCAGTGAATTGGGAGAATTCAGGAAGGTGGTGGGTAGGTTGGAGATGGGGGAAGAGAGGGGGAGGAGTGGTACCAGAGGAAGAAATAAAGGGAGTGGGGAGGGGGGTCGTATTTCGCAAAATCTTTGTACAACGTCACTATACCGCAAAGTGCTGGATGGCGCCATGGAAGGGGCGCTGCCTTTCCAGTGTATCTTTGGATCAATGCCCACTGAGGGTCAATAGATGAACTGACCTATTCTATTAGATCGATTTCGCAGGGGCAGACTTTGGTGGGGCAAAAGTACTGATAGGAATATCAAATAGATCGTATGCATCATGCCAAGGGGCGCTCCTAGAATTCTGAAGGGAACGGGATAGAGAGCGTAACTCAAGGGACAACCCGTCCCTAGCTTTCACCGCCCCACTTGCTAACCTTTTATTTTAGGCACTGAAACGTGGATGAACAGGTTGACATGGCCTGGAATGTCGTCTTATAAAACGGCTAGGAAGACGAAGTTTAGCACAAAGTCTTTTCCTTTAGCCGGATTCAAGAAACGATATGAAAACCTTTCATTCTATCTGCTCCTGAGAGCAGGGCACATGGTAGGTTTACTGTGACTTCGGTGACAAAGAAGCAGGAAGGAGCAAAAAAAGCAGGAGGGGACAACTGCCGCGCTGTGCTACGTAATGTCTCGTCGTCTGCGCCCTCTCAACAATATAGCGCTAGAAATAGCTTTGACAGGGCACTCGGCAGATTTTGTGTTAGTTTGATGGAGAAGTAAGTGACGTTCATACCATGCGCATTTTAATCCCATATGGATCCCTAAACACTACTTCGATGAGAGGGTGCAGACGAACAGCTATGACGTCGCACAGTTATGCGGCAGCCTGCTCTTCCCCACGAATCTATCCCTACACCAGTGCTTTGAAGCTAAAATCAAAAAAATTTCAGGTAGCGTACGACACTCCGGAATCAGCTGTTGCAATCGTAAAGCAAATCCTCGCCGATTATGGATCATAGACGCTGCACAAATTTTATTAAGTAATAAATCCTGCAATAATTGTTGCAAGTTTTCTTGGACAATTCCTGAACCCATAAACTAAAATGCGGACGACCATACAGGGAAGTCGCTGAAATTTGCGCTTGTACACTGTTCACAGGTTGCCGCGTAGGGAGAAATCAGCCAGTATGGGCTGTAACCTTACAATGAGTACAGGCACTATTCCTGTGACTAATAGGATGGAGGGGAGGGGGGGGGGGGAGAGCGTGCAAGAGCTTGTATTGGACTGCAGCCAGGATAACCTTTTCAAAAAACAATGGCGGGTTAGAACGACACAATTGATGAAAAAGTCGCCCTGGCCGTGCTCCAGCCCACCCCCGCCCCCTATACACCCTCTCATTTGGGGTGACAATGACTGCACATATTGCCTAGCTATTCGGGGAGGGTGAAAGGGCAGTTTGCTTTTGTCACCCTGGTTCTAAACTTAAGCAGACTTCTTTTCCCGCGACCCTGCCGGCTTCAGATCCCCTAACCATAGAAAAGTCTGATCTTCATCTCCGCCCTGAGAACAAACAAACAGCAAAGCTTACAACACAAAACAACAACTTTAATTGTTTATTCATATTTACAATGAGGATCCTATTGGGGACAGGAGCATGTTCCATGATTACACGGCAATCCGAAACATGAATTGCTCTCAACTGTACACGTCCGTTGCGAACAGAAATTCGTTAAAGCCACTACGAATAAAGGAAATCCGTGCCTGGCTAGAGCCTGAAACGAATTACTACCAGATACTAGAATGAGGTACTTAATTGTTTAATGCCGAACAGTTTTTCGGGATTTCTTTCCTTTAGCTTCGTCAACCTGGTGTCCTATCCGACACTCTTCGCGTAGGTCTTATTTATTAGACCCGTCAGGGCAATCTGAGTCTTCCAGAGGGGGGGGGGGCGAAGGCACAGTACAAATTAATCGTAAGGGCGGAGACAGACCCGCCATGGAAAAGTCAATGAACAAAACTTGAACAGTCTTACACTACTCACCCATTGGCGTGGGATGTGCCTTCAAGAAAGAAGACTTTGGATGTCCCAGGGTAAGAGCGCTCGAAAACCAAAAGTTATCTGTTTCGCTCTTCTGTACTGATTCCACGCTATTTGGACTACTGCGAAGTGCGACAGTGATTTGATAAAGACGCGAGAAAACAAACCAAAAGGGAAAGGAGGGGGGGGAGAGATAAACCTGTCCAGCGGGATGATGTTGTGCGGAACAAGCCGGAAAACTTCGTTTGGCAAAATTTGGGAATATGTGGGAATTGGTAGTGATAGAAACTTCGAAAGATTGTAGGTACACATGGCAAGAGTGTGGGGGAGCCGTACTGAAAGAGGAAACACTGCTTTTTCACCACTACCCTGTATCCTGCTTGGTGCCATATTGGCAAATGGCATAAGAAGTAGGGGGTAGTAACCTTGGAGGGGAGGGCAATTATGACAGCTTCCTGTGTAAAAGGCAAATTGCACCACCAAAGAAGGTGGGATTGTGACGATGATAGGTGGGAGCACTGTCTTCTAATTGGCCCTCCACTTGAACTCCTCCAACTCAAGAGTGCACTTTTTCCGTAACGCGGAAATCCCCGTTATGAACAAGGATTGCACAAAGCTTTCAAGTCGCTAAATGGACAGAAAAGTGTCTCCGGTGCAAATGGGAATCAAGTGAGCTGTGGTTTACGACGTGTGAATCGCGGAAAGCGCGACAAGAGAGGAGTTGCGAATGGTGTCGCGCGCGCGGCATCTATGTCAGCGATCCTAATCAATTTAATGTAGACAACGTGTGCAGCAAGGCGTGCGAGTCCGAGTCAGCAAAAAAGTACTAACGCTTGCCCGCTGCATGCCTGAATTTCTTGAACCCCACGCTCGCTGGCGCCCTCCCCCCCCCCCCTCCCGCTTCCAATGTTCACGAGGCAACTTGACAAACCATATGCGTTCCACACTTGAAAAAAAAACGAATAATTATTATGTAACATACGTACCTCAGCACATCGACAACTACCATATTGACAGGAATACAGCAACCCTCCACAGTGGGCATCATCTGTGCAGGCCATATTTGTCACGCACGCATGACAATTACATCGTCCAAGTGAGACACCGTGGCACTGGCCCTTAACATGAACAATTGAACTAGTTTTAAAAATGGCGCAGTTCGGCTTGAGGGGGGGGGGAAATTTGTGCACTTTTGCTGCTTGCCATGTTGTGTCGATTTTGTGTGTACGTACAGACCACTTGTCAACTACTGTACAGGATACCTGTCAACTCCTGTAAGACAATGAACACGACGATGGGGAGTAGCGTAAGTGCGAATTGCTCCCCCCCCCTCCTAAGCTGAGCTGCCCCTGAAATAGTTTGAAAAACTGGGAAATTCTCTCTGGTCAGTTCTTATTTTTGTATATTCTCTACTCGTTGGTTATTCGAAGTGGAGTATATGCGGTCATATGGCGCTGGATTCATGAAATCGCTTGACGTGCCAGCTTTCACAGCTTTCGCGCGGTCATTTCTGAACCGTTGACGATTTCTGAGACAATCGTTTGCTTTTTTCTGCTATAAAACGCAGGTGATTGATTTATTGGCACAAAACGATTGGTGAAAGAATAAGGTCACTTGTCAAGAGGAATAATTCAAAAAGTAGATGCATTAGGAAGGACCTCTATCAGAACCGGGTTTTACCCAAAAAAACAACGGCCTCGCATGAAATTTTTCCGCACCATCGCATTCGCATTGTGAGCACCTTCGAGCTTGTACAGTCCATATCCCTAGCATAGAGAGGGGCGTGGCCCGTACCTCAGGTGAACGTGGCGGCAGGTGCGCTTTAAGTGGGAGCTTGTGATTTTGGAATTGAAATCAGGTCTTTGTTCAGTAAAAAACAGGATGACAGCCGTATCAAATGACAATGTCTCACGAAAAATGCGTTTACGGCACAATTCTACGAAGTACGCAGCCACGCCTCCCATGTCCCCGCGATATGGTGTCCATAATCTTAAGCCTTCTAGGTTAGGCATTGGA